AGTAGGCCGGGTTGGTAACGTGCAGGCAAGGCAGAATGTAATCAGCAAACGGAAGGAAGGTCCAAGCCAAGGTCAGGGGCAGGCAGCAATCAACAGAGTCCAAGAACAAGCCAGGTCAATATCAGGAACAACAGAATCAGGGACAGAGACAAAGGAAGCAGGGTACTAGCTGAAATACTCTCACCACAGAGTGCATGCAAGATGCAAGTTTAAATAGGCCTTTGGCGCCATGAGTAAACGTGAGCGCCGTTGGGCGTAAAAAGCGCGCATAGCATATGCACGTAAACGTGTGCATTAGCGTCTGCATGCATGCGCACAACTACGAGCATTACCAGCCCGAAACCGTGTCACACGCAAATGCGCAATGGCTCTCACAGTACCAATTCTATGGCTGCTTGCTGGACTTCTCCGACAGCACCATTGGTCAAAAACTATTCTAGTATATATTACATCATATTATATGAAGTCATTAGATGCGAGCAGGCATCCAGTGTTCACATTTCAGCTTTAGACCTCTTCCGAATGGGAAGGGGACCATTCGGAGAAAGGACACAGCATAATGATGGACTGACACGGCACAACACATTAATTTCAGGATGCCACAGGACAAAAGCAAGAAGGTGGCTAGGTGCTCAGGCATACTGAGCAAGGTAGAAAACGTGCTCTTTTCCCATTGTTTAGAGAATGGTAGGACCATGCCCTACGTGTAACATTATGACAACCTGTGTGTACAGGGCCTTAGGGTGGGACTGTTTAATGTATATTTCAGAGTAGATGGTGTGACCTACACAGTGGGTGTGTAGCATGTGTTTGATAGAGAACCACACCAGTAAGAACTATCATTGTACACGTACTGATGCTTAATGGAAACTGGATATGTGAAACTGGGTTACACAAATGGTTGCGTGGGTCTTGGTATCCACAAAACGTTTTGAAGGATAGGCTATATCATAATATTCAGCTTCACGTTGCTCTAATTTAATATTTTCTTCCAAGGGTTCAGAACCCAAACCTGCCTCCTTGGGCCTAGGTGCCTCAACCAGCATATCCTGCACATCAGACCAGAATAAATACACCAGTGTCCAGAAACAACCTGTATAAAGTGACTGTTTAAAAAAAGTTTTACTCACCAGGCAGACACTGGAGCATGCGGTTTTCCAGATGTTGTATGTTCCACAGAGTGGATCTACATCACCCATAAAGTAACATTCCGCGGAGATATGTCTCAGCTTTACCGAGGTAGAATGTAAAAGTCACGTCTGGACGCTTATGCTCCCAGCTCTTGGACATGTAGGGGAGAATTAAACCCATCCTGCACCCTAGGACTCCCTTAGCTACCCCCAGGTAGACAGAGGGAGATACTTTATAGGCTCCTGCTTGGCATTGGATCTCTGGACAGCTCTCTGAGTAGGGCTCAATAATCCACGTAGTAGATGGATCTTTCTACCTACAAAGGTTATCACTACAACATACTGACTAGATTGCATGGAGGGATCCTGGTAAACATTAGAAAATGGTCACTGCAAACAGATGCACCGTCCCGGAACCTGCATGACAATACAATAAAGACATATCCCAAAGGGAAGATCATCGCTAGTGTGAAAATAGGAGTTATAGAAGTATAATAAAGTAGTCCTATTGGTCATAACTGGAAGCCACATTCACACTGCTACTTCCCAATGATAATAAGGCAATTGATGAGGGTTGTAGTACTATGTAGTGTAGCCATCTACAGTTAAACCACCTGCATAAATGTATGATCTTTACAACACAGCCATACCAATCCTAGTGAGGAACCTGGAAGAAAGGTGACATTGTAGACCAGGGGTAGAAAATCTCATAACGCCAGCCAGAGCGTTTCAGGTTGCCAAGAGCCTGCAGAGGGTGGTGTCACCCGCACCCCCATCCACTGACTGTGTGTAGCACCCACACCCCAACCCTCCCCCCAGGCGGCAATAAGTCTGGGGACACCCAGCTCATGGGACTTGTAGCTCCACAACAGTTGGCGTGCCAACGTTGCTTACCCAGTTGTAGAGACTTATGTTGTGGTATGTGAACTTGTAGGCACAGTCTGCTTTGTTTTACTTTCCCACTAGCCATAATGGCGACACATGTATTGTATTCTCATGCAGGTTCCGGGGTGGTGCACCAGCTTGCAGTGACTGTTTTTTAGGTTTATCAGGAACCTTCCATGCAATCTGTTCAGTACTTTGTAACTATCACATGGAGCTGATGTTCCAATAATATTCCCCTACTATTTGGTCATGTTGGAGGCATCTGTCAGATCTCTCTCTCTCTCTATACACACACTATATTACCAAAAGTATTGGGACGACTGCCTTTTACACACACATGAACTTTAATGGCATCCCAGTCTTAATCCGTAGGGTTCAATATTGGGTTGGCCCACCCTTTGCCGCTATAACAGCTTCAACTCTTCTGGGAAGGCGTCCACAAGGTTTAGGAGTGTGTCTATGGGAATATTTGACCATTCTTCCAGAAGCGCATTTGTGAGGTCAGGTACTGATGTTGGACGAGAAGGCCTGGCTAGCGGTCTCCGTTCTAATTCATCCCAAAGGTGTTCTATCGGGTTGAGGTCAGGACTCTGTGCAGGCCAGTCAAGTTCCTCCACCCCAAACTCGCTCATCCATGTCTTAATGGACCTTGCTTTGCGCACTGGTGCGCATTCATGTTGGAACAGGAAGGGGCCATCCCCAAACTATTCCCACATAGTTTGGAGCATGAGATTGTCCAAAATGTCTTGGTATGTGGATGCCTTAAGAGTTCTCTTCACTGGAATAAGGGGCCAAGCCCAACCCCTGAAAAACATCCCCACACCATAATCCCCCCTCCACCAAAGTTTACACTTGGTACAATGCAGTCAGGCACGTACCGTTCTCCTGGCAACTGCCAAACCCAGACATGTCCATCGGAATGCCAGACAGAGAAGCGTGATTTGTCACTCCAGAGAACACGTGTCCACTTCTCTAGGGTCCAGTGGCGGCGTGCTTTACACCACTGCATCCGACGCTTTGCATTGCACTTGGTGATGTAAGACTTGAATGTAGTTGCTCGGCCATGGAAACCCATTCCATGAAGCTCTCTACGGACTGTTGTTGTGCCAATCTGAAGGCCCCCGAAGTTTGGAGATCTGTAGCTATTGCCTCTGCAGACAGTTGGTGACTTCTGTGCACTTCAGCATGCACTGACCCCGCTCTGTCATTTTACGTGGCCTACCACTTCGTGCCTAAGTTGCTGTTGTTCACAGATGCTTCCACTTTGTTATTAACAGTTGACCGCAGAATATTTAGTAGCAAGGAAATTTCACGGAACACCTGAATCCAATGATTTGGAGGGATGTCCCAATACTTTTGGTAATATAGTGTATATGAGAGTTGGACATGTTGGAGGTGTCTGGTCAGATATATTTGACAGTTGGACATTGTTGGAGGTATCTGGTCAGATACACACAAGTTGTTACCAGCTAAGGCCCCAGTTTAGGGATGTTTGTGGGCCTGTTCACATAATAGCATTGTGCTAATTACACAGGATTCGTGTGTTTAGCGCACACTATAACACACAGCATTACACTGCACGTTAGGCATGCTGATTACATTCATTTGAATGGCATTCTGATGCACCTCCAGGTGGATGTATGTTGCAGGGCACTGTGCGGTACCACAATACTGTGTATGTGGTAAAAGCCTAGTGCATGCATTCATTTTTTCCCCCACCACATTGCAATAAACAGTTTTGCGGCACTGCACGTTGCAATGGCAGCGTGCCTGGAGGTGCATTGGGGTGCCATTCAAGTAGCTCAGTGTTGTGTTATGTAGTTCAGTGCAGCTTGTCCTATATGAATTGTGCACCTCAGTAAAGCATTATGTAGCACGTTATGTATAGTAGCTCAGTGTTGTCATGTCGTGTAGATTAGTTTGGCGTGTCTTATGTATATTGTGTACCTCAGTAAAGCATTATGTATACTGTAGCTCAGTGTTGTGTAGTATATATTGTGTGGCTCAGTGTTGTCTAATGTGTGTAGTGTACCTCTGTGAAGCGCTGTGGTGTGTTATGTATAGTAGCTGTGTTGTGTAGTTTAATGTGTTCTATGTGTACCTTAGTGAAGAGTTGTGGTGTGTTATGTACAGTGCAGCTCAGTGTTGTGTAGCATATTGTGTAATGTGTGTAGTGTACCTCAGTGAAGCATTACGTAGTGTGTTATGTACAGCAGCTCAGTGTTGTGTAGTTCAGTGCAGCGTGTCCTATGTGTACCTCAGTGAAGCGTTATGTAGTGCACCTCAGGGAAGTGTTATGTATAGTAGCTTACTGTTGTGTTATGTAGATTAGTTTGGCGTATCCTATATGTACCTCAGTGAAGCATTATGCAGTGTGTTATATATACTGTAACTCAGTGTTGTGTAATATATTGGGTGGCTTAGTGTTGTCTGACGTGTGTAATGTACCTCTGTGAAGCGTTATGTGGTGTGTTATGTAAAGTAGCTCAGTGTTATGTAGCTTAGTGTATCCTATGTGTATTGTGTACCTTAGTGAAGCGTTGTGGTGTGTTATGTACAGTGTAGCTCAGTGTTGTGTAGCATATTGTGTAGTGTACCTCAGTGAATTGTTATGTAGTGTGTAATGTATAGTAGCTCAATGTTGTGTTATGTAGTTCAGTGCAGCGTGTCCTATCTATATTGTGTACCTCAGTGAAGCGTTATGTGGTGTGTTATGTGTCTTTTGTACCTCATTCAAGCGTTTTGCAGTGTGTTATGTGTACCTCAGCGTTGTGTTATGTACAGTAGCTCAGCGTTGTGTAGTTGAGCGCAGCGTGTCCTATGTGTATGGTGTACCTCAGTAAATCGTTGTGCAGTGTGTTATGTGGAGTGTATCTCTCTGCTGTGTACGGCAGCCGTGTTATACGTATAGTGTGTGTCGTTGTGCAGGGCTGTGTGTTGCAGCGCCGTCGGTGTGTGTGTCTCAGTCAGTCAGGCAGGCAGAGCTGTCACCAGGGGGCACACAGACAAAGCCTGTCCCCGCTCCGAGCCCCGCTCAGCCGCCGCCTCCCTCGCTCTGATCCGGGAGGAGCTCGGGGAGAGCCCACGGAAAGTTTCCTGTATTCTTCCCCCGCATCGTGCCCGGATCCCGAGCTGTGCCGCCCGGCTCTCCCCCCTCCCCTCTCCCGGCTCCCCCCGGTGTCCTGCCCGTCCCTGGCTGGGAGTGTTGTTGTGAGCGGGGATCTAACATGGCGACGGTGCCTGTGTACTGCATCTGCCGCCTGCCCTACGACGTGACCCGCTTCATGATCGAGTGCGACGCCTGCAAGGACTGGTTCCATGGCAGGATCTGTGTGTCTGCAGAGGAGCCGATGGGGCCCCTCCGATTGCTCTTAGGGGCCCCTCACTTATTGCCCTAAATACCCCGATCTGCATTGCTGCTGCTCTGATCAGATCTGGAATCCCATTTATTAGGTGGGGGGTGTAGTGTAGTGTTAACCCTGTGTGTCACGGAGCCCCTGGTGTTATAAGGTGCCTCCATGTCTCCTTATGGTACGGTTCCTGTCACTGTGCGTTGCCCATCCAGTGCGCGTTCACTATTGTTCTCCGTTGCCGGGAGCACTTAGTGTCACCGGTTGGCTCAATGTGACATTTTCCACGACTTGTGCGCCACGTTACTTTATTAAAATTATTATCATATTATTATTATTGTCTGTAGTTGGGAAAGATCCCCCCCAACCGTCTCTGTGACCTCTTCAGATTCCTCCCCCCGACGTTTCTGCGGCCGCTGCGACTCTCCGGGCGGAATGAGGAGGCAGAAACTTGAATGGCGGGCACACACACAGAGAGGAGAGGAGAGCGAGCTCTGGAAAAGTAGAGGAGACAAAGCTGCTGCTAGTCTGCCGTTAACCCTTCTCCTCCTTGGAGGGAAATGCGTGTTCTGCACAATGTAAACAAGCCGAAGGCGGAAGAGGGTTTATTTTCAATTTATTTTGTCGTTTCGGCAGGCTCGTCGTCCTTTTTCCTGCCTCGGCTGGAACGTCCCTAGCGCCCCGGCGTCCACCATCAGGAGGAAAGGTTGCTGTGAATGGTTTTAGTGGCGCTGAATGGGGATCAGCTGGTCTCGCTCTGGCTGCTTCATTGACAGGCGAACAATAAGGAGCTTGTGCTCTGTTAACCGTTTCCTTTTCGCAGCCTCCGGCGAGTGTCACCGCTACCGCCGGTCACAGCGTCAGACAAAAAACGAGCTCCCTTACGCAGGAATTTATTGAACGCGGGTAAAGAAAAAGTGCGGCGAGTCAGATCGAATCGATAACATTCCACCGAGCGGCTTCGTACACTTTGCTCGTTAATGCGGATCTATAACGTCGCGGATCCCCGGCGTGGTCTGCACACGTAGCGGTGGGGATACCTTCGGGGAACAGCATCAAGGTTAATCGGAGGGTTTTTTATTGGGATTGTTTGTAGGGGTCATGGGAGGAGATCGGGGGCACCGGTTACATCAGGGGTAGGCAATCTTGGCACTCTTGCTGAAACTACGACTCCCATCATGCTTCTGCCACTGGGAGTCATGCCTGTGGTTGTCAGTCTTGCAATGCCTCATGGGACTTGTAGTTCCACCATGGCTTGAGGTTGCAAACTCTTTATCTAACTTGGGGATAGGCCACCTTGAAGCTTCAGCTGTGTTAAAACTACCACCCCCATCATGCTTCTGTCACTGGGTGTCATGCCTGTGGTTGTCAGTCTTGCAATGCCACATGGGGCTTGTAGTTCCACCACTGCTAGAGGTTGCAAACCCTTGATCTTACTTGGGGATAGTAAGTAAGCCCCAGCTGTCTTGAAGCTACAACCGCCATAATGCATCTGCCGCTGGGTGTCATGCCTTTGGTTGTCAGTCTTGCAATGCCTCATGGGACTTGTAGTCCCACCATAGCTGTAGGTTGCCAACCCCTGATCTTACTTAGGGGTAGGCCACCTCGGCACTCCAGAAACTAGTACTTACATAATGTCTCTGTTTCTGGAAGACATGCATGTGGCTGTCGGAGTCTTGCAGTGCCTCATGGGACTTGTAGTTCCACAACAGCTGCAGTGCTGAGGTTGCCTACACCTGCTTCAGACAGTTGTCATCAGAACAGGTTTATTCGTTAGAAAAAATCTCCTCAGTTCCTGCTGACTGGACAATTCCCCTGAGATAGATGAAGCGATGGCAACCTGCATCTGTGGTGGAACTACAAGTCCCATGAGGCATTGCCAGACTCTTCCAGCCACAAGCATGGCTCCCAGTAGGCAGAGGCATGCTGGCATTTGTAGCTGCAGCACAGCCGGGAGTGCCGAGGTTGCCTAGCCCTGAGTTAGATCAAGGGTTGGCAACCTGCAGCTGTGGTGGAACTACAAGTCCCATGAGACATTGCAAGACTGGCAGCCACAGGCATGACTCCCAGAGATATATTGGGAGTGGTAGTTTCATCACAGCTGTAGTGCTGAGGTGGCCTAGCCCTAAGTTAGAACATGGGTTGGCAACCTCCAGTTGTGGCACTACAAGTCTCATGAGGCATTGCAAGACTCTTCCAGCCACAAGCATGACTCCCAGTAGGCAGAGGCATGCTGGCATTTGTAGCTGCAGCACAGCTGGGAGTGCCAAGTTTTACTATCCCTGAGTTAAATCAAGAGTGGGCCACCTGAAGCTGTGGTGGAACTACAAGTCCCATGAGGCATTGCAAGACTGGCAGCCACAGGCATGACTCCCAGAGACATATTAGGAGCGGTAGTTTCATCACAGCTGTAGTGCCGAGGAGGCTTAGTCCTAAGTTAGAACATGGGTTGGCAACCTCCAGTTGTGGTGGCACTACAAGTCTCATGAGGCATTGCAGGACTCTGCCAGCCACAGGCATGACTCCCAGAGAAATGCTGGGAGTGGTAGTTTGACCACAGCGGGAGTGCCGAGGTTTCCTACCCCTGAGATGGACAGCAGGTTATGCATCTCAGCGGTTAATGTAGCTGCTGTGGCCCGGTCAGCAATGACAGCCGGATGGATACGTCATGGCGAGGGACACATTCTCTCCCTGTAATTGGCCCGTTTTCTTTCCTCATGTATTGTGATGAATAAATTGTATATGTCGGGGATTTTTTGATTGCGTGTTTATAAATGTTGTGAGCGGATTGTGTGCGCTGAGTTTTGCTGTGTGTGTTCCCTTCCTGAGCCTTCACATGCATGCCGATTCCCCCCCCTGCTGTGCCAAGGTCTGACCGTATCGTAGCGGCACTCGGGTGCACTGCAGTCTGTCTTCCCTCTAACATTGCAGATGAGACCAGATTGAAAGGCACAGCAAACGACTGCTCACCCCCGTAGCTGGCTGTCATTGTCATCCTCTGTCTTCACTGTCAGTGTGCGCCTCGCACTTTTTGTGTCGAGTGTCTGCGGCTGCGGCTTGCTGGGGGGGCCGGGAAAATCACAGCCGGGTGACATGAAAGCATGTAAAGTTATGGAATTTGTCATTGCTGAATACTGCCCATACAGTATGCCAGGGGTAGGCAACCTCGGTACGCCAGCTGTGGTGGAACTACAACTCCCATCATGCATCTGTCTCTGGGAGTCATTTCTGTGGCTGTCAAAATCTTGCAATGCCTCATGGGACTTGTAGTTCCACCACGGCTGGGGGTTGCAAACCCTTGATCTAACTCGGGGATAGGCCACCTCGGCATTCCAGCCGTGCTGAAACTACAACTTCCATAATGCATCTGTCTCGGAGTCATGTCTGTGGCTGTCAGAGTCTTGCAATGCCTCATGGGACTTGTAGTTCCACAACGGCTGGCGGGCCCAGGTTGCCTACCCTGGCACTGTACAATCTCTTTTAGATCTGTCATCACCTATATAGGCTGATTTGATACTGATTGGTTGTTTAGGTTTGTCCTCATGTTGTAAAGCTCACCACACACGTTACAATCTGATTGTACGAGCTCCTTTAGAGCTACCACCAAGTATGTAGTACAAGGGCCCATCTGATTCGCTTTACATTGATTGAATCTTATAGGCCGGTCCCCATATTACATAGTTTTGGTAGATCTAAAGTTGATTGAACAGAGATTGTATGCTCAGGTTGTAACATGTATGGTGACCCTTCAGGAAGGTTGTACAATCAGATTGTATGTGTGGCCATCTGAAGTCGTTCAAAGACATTGGATGACCGCTGAAGTGGGGTTTACATTAGATGTGCATATTAATGTATATGAGAGAAGAAAGATACGGTTGTTGTCACCTTTACTTGGGAGCCGCATTACCAAAAGCAACCCAGCCAATCGTTTGTTCCCGCACAACTATCGATGTCTGCTGCTACCCACAGATATCAGGATCACGTTGCTTTTGGCTCGATCGAGTGACAGTTCCGTCACGTTTGTGAATATTTATGGTGGTCACACAGAAGGTTCGATTGGGGTAACAGATGACATTCCCTTGGCTTAAAGCTCCGCTCATCACACACATTGCAATTTGATTGTACAATCTCTATTAGAGTTACCAACAAGTTTGTAGAGCAAAGGTCCTCACTGATTGTATACAGATTGATTGGATGGCAGCCAGGTAGGTCCTCGTATTATATCGTTTTGGTAGATCTAAAATTGTATGATTGTAACATGTGTGGCAAGCCCTAGCCGTGCACTATACAATCTGATTGTACAATCTCCTTTGGCTTACAAAACTGTGTATTATGAGGACAAACTTAAACAATGGTACATGGCCCACGGTATATGCATCCTCAGTTGTATGTGCCTCACGATATATTCATACTCAATGGTACTAGGCCCACGGAATATGAATGTCCAATGGTATATGTTCCAAGGTATATGCATACCCAATGGTACATGGCTCATGGTTAATGCATACCCAATGGTATATGGTCCAAAGTATATGCATACCCAATGGTACATGGCTCATGGTTAATGCATACCCATTGGTATATGTTCCACGGTATATGCATACCCAATGGTATATGGCCCACACTATATGCATACCCAATGGTATATGGCCCACACTATATGCATACCCAATAGTACATGGTCCACAGTTAATGGATACCTAATGGTATATGGTCCAAGGTATATGTATACTCAATGGTGCATGGCCCACAGTATTTGCATGCAGAATGGTGCATGGTCTATGGTATATGCATGCCCAATTGTATATGGACCATGGTATATGCATTCTCAATAGTATATAACCCATGGTATATGCATAGTCAGTGGTATGTGGTCTACGGTATATGGCCCACGGTATATGCATTCTCAATAGTATATGGCCCACGGTATATGCATTCTCAATGGTACATGGCCCACGGTATATGCATTCTCAAT